TGATGGCATTTACATCCCCGTTCAAGTTTCCCAAATTTCAATTGTATAATAAAAGATACTTTTCAAAATACAATTGATGGGCCATATAATGAACTAGTTTTTGGTGTTTGTAGATAGAAGCATATAAACCTTTGATCTAAGGCACTTTCTGCTCTCATACAATGTATCCAGATGTTGAACACCTTTTTGATGTTTCAGAATTAATTCTGTTCATATTTCAATTTAACCTTCCTTATTACTTTAAACTCTTGTCGGGTATGATCAGGTGTTAAATTTGTTGTTGTTGGAGCTTAGAATACAAGCCTTCATGCATTCATCTGATGGACGTTCTTTTCTTGAACTTGTTAATGCTACTGCAGAATTGAAACTGCTGTCGATGCTGAAAGTTCTAAGGAAGATCACACCAGCCATGGCCATGACCACGATCACCACCATCATCATGAACATGAACATGAACATGACCATGAACACGACCATAAACACGGCAAGTCCACCCTACATTTCTTAGATATTAGGAATAGCTTAAGTTAAGACATTATTCTGCAGTCTGCACTACTTAAGGTACGCAGTAATGACAGAGTTAAATGGGCCTGCTATGAGTAGAAATTAGAGTTAGCATGCATCTGAGTTATTGAAGATGATTCCTGCCGCTGCTTAGATAGATTTATGCCACAAACATAAGCTGTCCTTTGCTTAGTCATGTGATTTGTCGCCAATTCTGTCCAGCAAGGTTTACCATCCATTATCTGGAGAGTGAGTTGCTATTCTCTGGGAGACCCCCCCCCCCCACAAACACAAAAAAAAAACTCTTTTGTTTCAACCTGAATCCATGGCTTTCTTTCCTTATTGAATATTTAGTACCTTTATAGGTTGATATGGAATTCTATCTGTATGTCTTTTTGTTAAGAGAACCACATGCTCCACATCCTTGGCCATGTCTGAGTTTCTTAGAGCCGTTGGATTGCTGCTAATTGAAACTCATAGAAATGTGGGCATTTTCAACTTTAGTCATGCTTTCTGTTGCTCCCAGCACACCCCATCCAGTGTAGTGTCATCTGTCCTACAATGAGAGTAACGCTAATAGTAAGACTTCGGATTGAAACTTGGCAGATTTCTTATTTGGCTTCCAATTATGTATCCTGATAGTGCATTATTGACTCTTTTATGTATCTGTAAGCATGTGGTTCGAGATTGATTACTTCGATATGCTTTATTTTGCTTACTAGTGGTGATGCTAATAGCTAGCATCTTGGAAATCATTCACTTATATCGCTTGTTGAATTATTGTGGATATTCTTGCAGAACATCATGATCACCTTGCTCATGATCACACTCATGACCCTGGTGTTTCTTCTGTCAGCATAGTTTGTGAAGGACGCTTAGATCTTGAGAAGGTTTGTTTGTTGGTGATTTATTTGGTAGTCTTATTCTAATTGATCTTCCAGCTTTAGGGAGTCTTAATATGTATTGATTCAATATATTCATTGCAAGATGAGATTGCTGAGTTTGATGGACTGAAAAACATTTACTTTCAATATCTCAGGCTAACATTTGGCTGGGTACATTGTTATTGGAACGAAGCGAGGATATATACCGTATGAAAGGTCTTCTGTCAGTTGATGGAATGAATGAGCGATTTGTCTTCCAGGTGATTGACTTCTTTTCAGAATGCTATGAGTTTTCTCTGAATATTTCTAACTTGTTAGATGATTCTCTCAGTAAATTTGCAATTAGGAGCATAACAAGCCCAATTCTGTTTAGATGGGGAAAAAGCATAATGCTTTACCCCTTTTTATTATATGACTACTTCTGGAAAAGGTTTGGTGAAAAAAAAATGACGAGTAACTTGGAATAAAATTTTATGAGCTGATCCAACATGGTTTTCAGATAGAGGGGAAACATTTGGAAGGAAAAGCAGCAGTCACATTGCTCACCAATTACTAGTTTACTAATGACTGTCTCTGCTTTTCTTTGTAACTTCCTGGAAATAACTCGATGCTATTCATCATTTCATCCTTTTGGACACTGAGATGGCTTTTATTGCAAGTTGATCTTTAATTTATTTTGTACAAGTGTCGAAGTTTTTGGTTTAAGTTATTAAAGATAATATTCTTTCTACTTGTTAGCTACCTGCTGCTGAGTAAACTCTCTGCCCAAGTTAACCGAAGCAATTGGTTAGGGCATTAGGCAATGTTCAATCTCGCAATAATATACAGGATGTGGTTACTACTGCATTTGGGTTAGCTTAAAGTTTTACAGCTCCAGTTGGATTGCTCTTTTTCCGGATTAGTACCTAAATAGGAGTCATTAGCTACATCATTAGTAATGAGGCCAAGCACATAGATGGGTCTAATGACAACATAATTTTCTTCAGCTTGCTGCTTTGAAATTAACAAGTAGGAAGATATGGTTTAATTTAGAATTCTGCATAGGACAATGTCACATATGGAGTCGATTGAAGCATTTTTTTCAAGAGTAGAGTGGAGTATGGTATGGTGCTAACATGTTCAGTGCCCAATTTTCTTTAGCAAATGCTTTCTTGTATGTTTATTTTTTTCAGTCTTGGGCTTTTATCGCATGCTTGTTTTTTATGATCGGCATACCTTCTTGTTTGTAATAACTATTATCCTGTTTAACAGGGAGTACATGACATATTCCAAGGTTCGCCGGATAGACCATGGCTCCCAGATGAACCAAGAGTAAATAAGATCGTCTTCATAGGAAAGAACTTAGACGCACAGGAGCTGGAGAAGGGCTTTAGGGCTTGTTTATTGTGATTCCACTACTTAAGACTCTAGTAATTAACAACGAGTTAACTATTTTATCGTGTGTGGTGAAAACAATAAAAACTATAAAAAATTTTCTGATATGCTTGTGGAAGCCTGAGTTTCATGCAGATTCAATCAATAGTCCACATCTTCTTTCGCTTTCGATGTTTTTCTAGAATTCCTGAAGTTTCCGGCGAGTTCATGGTAATATTGTAAAATGAAGCTGCCGCTAGTCTGTAGTCCCGGCGGTCATTAGCAATTTTGTACTCCTAAGGCGTACGGATGAGAGCGATTACCAATTCATTTGAGCAAACCTAGTAAAACTTGCCAATCTTAGTGGATATCAAATCTGGTCTTGAACCTGTTTCGGCTTTTCCATCCTTGAATATTTTCATTAGTGAAGTAACAGAAAAATTGCAATCTTGGTCACCCACCAAAGGTTGATATGTTAAAGCATTTCAGACATACATTGGGCAGATAAGCGTATGTGAAATAAATTATTCCATTAGTTTTGCCGCTAAAATGATGCTAAGCTTCTATTTCCTGGGGGGTGCAAAAATGGTAAATGCTCATGACTTGAGTTGCCTTGGGATCTTCATGACACCGGCGGTCAAATGGACCTCGACCAGCTTTAGACTTAGAGTGGTAACTGGTAACAAGATCTGGGGCAATTTGCAGACGAAAAGCCAAATTTCACCCAGAAATTGATGTTCCCTCCCATCCATGCACATCCGAAGTTAATGGCCCATAGCCCTTTCTATCTCCTCAGTCCATACTTCAGGGTACGTCAAAGGACTCTTGTCGCTCTGGTTTCCCTTTACTCCAACCCACCACAACTACAACTTTCTTTCTAATCTGGTCTCCGGTCTAAGCTCAAAAGAAACAAAAAGATATCAAGGAAAATGGAGTTCGAAAGTCTCTGCTCTTCTAGAGCTGCTTTGGAGAAAATGGTCTGCACTGTTGTGGTCGGTTCAGCTCTGGCTGCTCAAGAGTCCCTTCTTTGGCTTTTCTTCATGGTACATTCTCTGCACTTCACCTAGAAGGCGTTGCTTCTCTGTGGTATATTTGTTCTTAAAAGGTTCTAGAGAATCCAATCACTCCATTCTTATATGTTATCCTAATAGTGACTGAAGAGCTTTCTTGAGATGTCTGTTCTCCTAACCTTGATTACTACATCAAAATTCTGCATTTGCTTGGATAAGCAGTTCAGAATTATCATTTCTTGAAACTTTTTTTTTTCGCTGCTTATACACTAGGTCAGAGATGCAAGAAATGCTACAGCAATTTCCATGCGGATTATTTTGGCTTTTTCACCCCCGTTCTAGGAGCATTATTTTCTTTTTATTTGACAATCTAGAATTTCTATCTTTTAGATTGAAGGCAATTTAAGAAAAAGAAGAGGACGACAATGAAGAAGATGAGGAAGACAAGCATACAGCAAAGAAGAAAAATTGAGTAACTTTAATTCTCTTCTGATGCCTCACCCTTTTTTCCCTTCGTGGCTTCATCAGTTAAATTGAGCATTATTTGAAGGAAGACGACTTACTTATGGACAAGATGATATTTTGTTTGGATGGTATATTATTTGCTTGCATTGACAATACATTTTCCAACCATCATTGTATCTTACATACATCAAATCAAAAAGTTACTACAGTAATTTTTTTACAACTAAAAAAAATTAAAAAAGAGAGTCACCATTGTGGTATAACTTTGGAAATATATTTTATCTAACCCCTGCAACTTCTTCAACAAACCAACTGCCATATGTAGACTAAAGCGGCAAGAAGGAAATGAAATGGAAAAGCATCTATATCTTTAAGTACAACGCTATGCTTGTAATGAAGCCCACATGAGACTATGGGAGAGGCAAAAGGAAGGTGAAGATGAATAGAGATTAGCGGCCGAACAAGAAATATATGACGAAGTTACAGATATGCAGAGGTTTTATTATTCTAAATACATGTCACTTGGTGATTCCTGCAGCGTTCAACCTATACACTTCAATACCTTCACCCAGAAAATAACAACACCACTAGTTCCTCGTACTTCTCCCAGTGTTGATCTTTGCTGTTAGATTCATCATGCGAATAATTTTCCCAGGGAATCATATTATGTGCTCATGTTAAAGCCTTAGTATGCATCTTCCTCCCTCCCTCCCCATTTTTCTAGAAACAAAAAGCGAACAGTCTCCTTCAACAACCAAGATTTGTTAGACATAATTGATCATATCAAACTGTATAAGATCAGAGAGCTGCTTCCGGCCCCAGCTAACTAAACCAGAGGGAAGAATTATGAGTAAATGCATGCAAGTTTAACTTGACCAAACTGTTCAGTGAGAGATACCATTTGCTCAACTGATATAGCAACTAATCCAGAGCTTTTTAAACCTTAATATACTCTAGAACCGCAATAATCCAAAGCTTCAAACTTTGGTCATCGAAAAAAAAAAAGAAAAAGAATTTAAAGCTTAGTATTAATCATTAGCTACACTAATAGTATCGGAAGAGTGGCTTATATCAAAATGGAAGAATACATAGTTACAATTTAGGCACTCACTGAGGCAACTTTCCAGCCCGAAAAATGGCGAACTTGTTAGCCTTTGAATAAGAATACTCAATCCCGTTACTCCTTAGCAGCTCCTCAAGCAAATTCTTAGCTCTTTCAGGTTCAGAAGTCTCGCATTCAATCTCATAACACGTCCCAAAATCATAATTTGTTTCATCAAGCTCCAATTTTAATCCACTCCATTCATACACTGCTCTCACATTTCTAAATCCTCCCAAACATACCAAACACTTGTTATCATCTCCAACAACTCCATATTCTTCTCTCACTCTCTTCATTATTTCGGAAGAATGATCGGCCATGAGTAACAGCCGCCACGGCTCCGCCACGCTAGCTCGGCCTATGACAGGGTCGAGGGGCTCTTCATCTTCCTGAATGCGGCTGATTCCATTGGACATCACTGGCTTTGCTTTGAGAGAAAGGACGCATTGGGAGTCGAGGTCGTAGAAGCGAAGGCGGAGCGCGGCGAGGTTGGTGGCCAGCTCAGAGTTAGGCCCGTCAAAGAAAATGTTTTCTTGGACGTGGGTTTTGACGTGGAAAGGTGAAAGGACAGTGGAGAGGCGTTGGTGGGCGTTTGAGTCTGGTAAACGGAGCTTTACTTCTACTTCCATTATGATTCGGCGGCGCTGGAGGTGGTGGTTGGTAACAGAAGTCGATTTAGTGGTGAAGTAGGGGAAGAATTGGGACGGTGACTGGTGGAGCAGCGGGGGATATGGGTGATGGATATGTGAATATGTGGCGTTTCTCGCCCTACAGAAAAAGTTCCAATCTCCCGGAATCAAATGCTTGGTGCGCAGAAAAAATTAAGTACGTTGAATATTCTATTCTCCTAGGACTGGGAGTCTTTCCTCTATCGTCCAATCGGAGGCGGGGCAGGAACGGTCTCAAGTTCATGTCGAGATTTGATAAAAAAAAAATTAAAATTATATCTTATATATAATTTTTAATATCACGTGTGAGGTTTATAAAATTTTGTTTTATAATTATATTTTATTAAAAATGAATTATATCGTATGTATATAAAGTTACGTCTTATGCATCTTATATAAAATCGATCCAAACAATTTTCTGACGAATCGTTCTGCCCTTGTTCCGTTTAATTGGACATCTTCAAAAGCGAATCATAACTATTACTCGCTGATAAAGTATTCATTTTACCCTTATAAGACTTATTTCTCAATTCTCAATTTTTTATTAGCTTTAGATACTATTGAAATTCACTTTTTAACACTTGAAAACTTACCTGAAATCTTGCTTTCCAGCGGTCAAACATTTTCACTTATACTCGGTAACTATTTTCAGAGTTTTGAAAGGATTTCTTTTAGCTAAAACTAGCTTTATGTCTCGTGCTATATGCACGAGAACAACGAATGATTAAATATCGAGATTTGCTGATTTGAATTTAACAAACAATAACCATTGAATAGCATCAATTGTAACTCAACAACCTTAGAAAATTTGACATATGTCACAGTATTAGAAACCTTGATTGACATTGTTATAGGGATTTTTTAACGAAAGCATAAAGCGTTAATTTATTGTAAATTGATTCAAAAGGATTTCTTTTAGAAAAAAATTTGTTAAAAGATTTTTCAATGATTGGAATGTGTGGCATAATTTTTTTTTCGGGGGATAAAAATTTGTGCCATAAATTGATACGACAAGGTATTATTTTATTAAAACTAATAATTTTTAAGTAATAGTGTAGCAGCCTAGTGGTTAAAGTTAAAAGATTCCGAAAATTAGAGAGCTTATATTTAAATCTGATTGTGACAAAGGTCTTAGGAGCAAAATTCTTGAACAGATCGTTATTTTATTCATAAGCTCGTTAAAGGTACAACTGATAGAAGAGATCTGGAACAGAAATTTTTAGACATCCAAGTCTCAAGTGATGCCAAAAATGCAAAACATTGAGTAAGCTTGGCAAAATTCCCATGGCCTTGGAAGAATTTCATTATTCCTCAAATACTAGTATACTATTTTATATGCTTGGGAACTGGTCATATATTTAGCTGGGTCCTGCTTGAGCACTCAGTTTCTAGTCTTTTTTTTTTTTGTTTTTTTTCAATCGGAGTATTCCAATTTTGCCGGACTAATTTTCTTGAACTTGAATACCTCGCCTCACGAAAAATACCCCGAAGATTCACCGAGCTGACCCGAGGGCACTCAGGGTTCTGGTTAAAAGTGATGGATTTGATTCTTGGCACAGTAGTTGTAAAAGGCCACTCCTCTCCTTCTGTGCATCACCAAGGGAAAAAATGACAAAATTACTGATTTTTTCTTGTTTTTTTTTTTTGGGGGTTGGGGCCTTGGGGGAAGTGAAGGACCAAGCATCAATGTACACACCACACAAGAACGGGGAAGGAAACTAGAGGCATTACCTTGAGAGGTTCAATGGTCAAAGCTCCTTGGGAGGAAATGTCTCCGCATTCTTGGCTTTTGAGACGAAAATAATAATGCATATCCTCAAAGTGATTGCGAACCTCATCGATTAATTCTGCCCTTTCTTGCATGCTTCTCATGAATTCTCCCTTGAGGATTTCACCTTCATCTTCAAGAATTCCCAATCTCTCGTCCAGTTGCTTAACTAGCTTGCTGTTGACGCGCATCTTCCTCTCGTGATTCCTTTTCCCAGAACAAGTTGTATCTGATGAGATCTCACACGCATGATTTCTATTCAAAACCCTCAATTCCAGTGACTGAGCAGCAACGCTCCTGCTGCCTGACATGCCAAAATCCAGAGCAAATGGATCAAACCCTCTTATTGTTTTCTTTTTTCTCTTGATTGCAATCACTCACAACGTGGTCATGACGACAACTCTGCCCGAACTTGCGTGGAAATTGAGAACGTTTAGCTATTGAATTCGAAAGAGACTAGTATATACGTACACAATACAATGGAGATGATGCTGAAACAAAGCATGCATGTGCATGAAAATCACACAAGTTTGGTTTTAGGGACGATAAGTCCTCCCACAAATGATGCATGAAATTTAAGGCTAAGTTCATGTATGTTGGTGAGATCACATGATTCTCAAGTGGATGATGGTTGCTTGTCTGAGATAACTCAAGGAGTAGGAAAGAAGTTTACAATCTATACTGGTACTAGCGCTCTTTGATTCCCCTATAGCAAGGGAGAAGTAGGGACTCAGGGTTGCCGGGGGCTGAAGGAAACATGAGATATCACGGAATTATTAATTGATGAGATGCAGTTGCAGACTTGCAGTTACTGACAATTTTGAATTCCGCGGCCGCAGGAATTGTCTCTCACATGTTTGGCAGGAAGTTTCGGCTGTAATTATAGCAGTAGCAATTAGGAAGGTGCTTAGTCGGTTGGTGACTCTTGCAGACTCTGCCTGCCTCCTGTGAGAACTGATTCTAGTAGACAATATTTTCGGCCTTGAGAAAATTTGGCTGGACATCAACAGAATGTGAATGTGGCACTAAAAAGGGGTTCAAATTTTAAAGAAACCCACAATCAAGGTGAGTTTTGAAGGACCTGAATTGTGTCAAAATAATCTGCTAAAATTGAGTTCTGAATACCGGCCATATATATACATTGTGCATGTTTTTAAACTTTTAAGCCACAGATGAAAGTTGTTCATCTATGGTCGAAGCTTTGTGTCAGCATTGCTTCCAAGCGTTATAACTTTGGAAATATATTTGATCTAACCCCCGCAATTTCTTCAAAAAACCTACTGCAATATGTAGCCTAAAGTGGCAAAAAGGAAATGAAATAGTAAAGTATCTATATCTTCAAGTACAACGGTATGCGTGTAATGAAGCACACTTGAGACTGTTAGGAGAGGCACAAGGAAGGTGAAGATGAATAGAGATTAGTGGCAGAACAAGAAATATATGCACAGGTTTTATTATTCTAAATACATGTCACTGGGTGATTCCTGCAGCGTTCAACCTATATACTTCAAGACCTTCACCCAGAAAATAAAAACGACAAATGACTTTAATACAGAGTTGTGGTTTTACAAAGGACGGCTGGATGTACTTTGCAAAGTCATCTTGAATTAAGCTACAGAAGAAGAACATAGACTGCAAGCTTAGCTAGTCAACCGGAACTTCCACCTCCATCTTCAAATTAGCATGATCAAATACCTAACACAAAAGCAGGTTAATGATCATTTTGAGAGAGCAGATTATGATAGACAGTAACAAGCAGCAGCCCCAAGTGAGGCAGTTTAATATAACATAGGTATCACTTAATTGGCTGTTACCACGACAGAGAAGGACAAGTACCACCATTATGATATCTAATTCTTGAAAGTTTCAGACACAAGAGTAGCTCATCTACAGCAGTATCAAGATCTAGAAACTAGAAAACATCAGAAGTCTAGATAGAATAGGCAAACGCTGTATCAAATGGATCAACTATAGGTACACCATCCTATACATTAATGTTTTACCAACTTTTCTCAGGCGTAGATAGGCTCCCTATCTCAAAAACTGAATCGTCATAATCTGGATGGGCAGGCTTCATTTACTCTCTGTGAAAGTACTCTTGACTTATGCAATGGTAATTTCCTTTGCAAATCATTATTAAGAGTCTTAAAATCATATCCTTCACGACAAATAGATGGAGCTAAAGATGTTGCATCTCTACCTCACTAATTTCCAGATTCATGAGAAGTAGGAAAATGTAAGTATTACAGGCTTCCTAAACATAAAATTGAGTTGGAAACAAGTCATTTAGCCCGGGTACACCTTTCTTCTATCCCATTCTTAGGTAGATAATCTTTTTGCAAGTTACACTAAGAAACAAACCTTGATAAAGTCATCCAAGAGTAGCACAGACTCCTTTGTATAACCAGCTTCGTGCAAAACTTGGCCCAATACTTCCTACAGAAAATATAATCAAACGAACAAGAGCTTGTCATGCTTTTGTTGCCATACCCAAAGTTGAAAATGGAATACTAGGATATGACTCTCTGATGTACAGCAACCAGACAAAAAGATATGGAAAAAATAAAAGCGCAACCTCAGGAATTCAAGGACCACTTAAGAAAATACTCAGAAGCAACCAAGGTGAATCAACATCTGAAAATTAAGTGACTCCATCAATTACTGTACACACAAGATTTATGACAAATTTGCTATGTTGGGAATACTTGTTTATGCACAATTGGAGATAGAATTTGGTCCTAGGCATGAGAAGAGACTAGCAAAACCATGTAATGAGACTATGGTGTGTCCTCATGGTGCAACACCACATGCTATCTATTGGGGCATCATTGTTGTCGCTAGATGTCAAGCTAATGCCAGATTTTAAATAGAAAGTTCATAAACTATCAATTGTATGAAAAACAGCCAGAGTGAACTACACCTAAACAGGTGAGTCATTACTTTATATCAGAATATTCTCAATGTTCAACTAAATCTCAGAATTCCCTTTGAAAGATTGAATTTCTACCATCTTCTGGACCTCTCCAAGTCCATCTAGAAGCTTTACATGGTCATGATTGCTTCTTTTGAATTAAAGATAATGTTCCCCGATATGTCTTGTATTTGTGCATGATCTACCAGTAACTGAATATGCTACTAACTCTTGAAAACTGGCACAACTTGGTGTATATACACCTCTTAAACAAGGAATTTCTTCAAATGTTTTGTAAGTAGCAAATTAACCAGAACTGCAAAAGTTAGTGATAGCTGCTGCCCTTAAGTTCAGCAATACATCGCTACTAGTAACCTAAAACAGGAAGGTTAGCAGCAAAAATACCTCTCTTTGTTGATCTGACATGAAAGAGCCAGCCAAATCCTGAAGCACTTGTATCATGTCATTGAATGTCACCTTCCCATTGCAATCAGAATCATATACCTTGAAAATAACTGTCAGGCATGTCACAAGGATTAACAATATGCTAAAGGAGAAACAAAAACACAAGAAAAGTAATACAAGGGACACATTACATAGACCACCAAACACATTAGTCAATGCACAATATGTTCAAGAAAGTATACTCTTTTGTTGGAAATTCATTTTTGCACTCAAGTCCAGTGTAAAGAGCACAGAGGAAATAGTTGGTGGAGGGGAACAGTACAATTCATTCATCATGAAATCAATTTTCACATATGCATTCACAATTACAATAGTGAGACTCAAAAGTCCAAATACTCAAGATTAAACAAATCTTAGACTAAGTACTAAAACTTCCTACGAAACGTCACAACGATATTACAGTGCTAGCCATCTGATTCCGTTCTGTAAAAATTTTCATTCAGAGCTACATATCAAGAAAATAAGTAAACAAAAATTTGTCTGATCTCCTTTAGATCCAAAATAATACTCTCGATATGTATCAGATAAACATAAAAAACTGCAAAACCAACTTAAGAAAACTTGCATCAGTTAGGAACCACACTCAACTCCTTCATTTACTCATTCAACAAGTTCAATTACACAGTAATTCAAAAGACAATCACGTATTTTAGTGAGAGACATCAGATCATGTTTACTGGGAATTTTAATTCCTAAAAGAGAAACAGAGAGATGGTGAACCTACCTTCAACTTTCTGGGCTAGACTTGCTTTAGCACTAAAAGCTGATAAAAATGCGACGAAATCCTTGAAATTCAAACCATCCACCATCTTAAGCAACCTCTGTAAAGAACCACAAAGTAAAACGAAATGACACGCTTAATAGAAAACAGCCAACCAGAAAAGCAGCGATATACAAACTAAGCAGGATTAGATTCCAAAAAGGTTCTAAAAATAAAATAACAAGAAGAAATTAAAAAAATAAATAAATAATCCCAACGTCCACCTGAGAAAGTGGATTCATGGCAAACTCTGGAACTGATAAAAATTCATCAGCTGATATGAACCCCTTTGCGTTCCTATCGAGTTGGCAAAACCTCTGATAAAGAGACACTATCTCTTGTTGGGAAACTATAACAATTACAAGGAAAGGACAGTTTTCAGTTCAAATTGCATCCTTGAAAAAAGGAACAAAGCTTGGGAATATGTCAAGGAAGACATACAAAGATTGTTACAGTGTCGTTGTACTTCTTCAATGTCATATTGAGTCAGCGTGGATGAAGCATTACCCATCTTCTATCTCACTGCAGCGATCAAATAACTAGCAAAAACAAAAGAAACAAAGCCCATTAAGTCCATCAATCAAAATCGGCTTTTTTTTTTATTGATTACAGATCATCTATCTTAATTTCAGCACTAAACGAACGAATCTTAATCTCCATGCAGAAAGTCAATGAAGTTCACAAAACAGCATAACTCCACAATCAAAATCATGTATTCTTAACTTGTTTCCGTTGCAGCATATGGAACAATGACCTTGGAATTAATAATTCGAAAATAAAAGAATAAACAGAGACCTGAAAATTCGAAGAATGAAGGGATGAAGACCGAGGGGTGTGAAAGCGTTGGGGACGGTTAAGAGAGAGAACTGGTGCGTGATGACATATAAGTTTAACTATGTTATAACAGTAATCGATAATAAGACCATAATTCTGTATCAGACAAAGGAATCTATTGTGATAACTTTGTCATCATCGGACTACAAGTTTACAATCAATAAGGTAACCTTTCTCGTCTGTGCAAGGTGACGCGGCATTTGATTCTGATGTTTATCCAAAAAAAAAAAAAATAAGAAATAGAGTGAAAAGGCATTCATTACACTTGTTTAGTGATGATTGTATGCATCTTTGGGTTGGGCTTTAACATCTACTCTCCGAGGCACATGACTCAGGCCCATTGTATTTTACTAGCAATAGGGTGCAAAAAGGGGCAGCTTTTTGTTGGGCAGCCTACAAATGCCTTTTTTTTTTTGCAAAAAAAATAAAAAAGGAATGTTCAATATTTTGAGAAAAAAAAAAACAGAAGATCGAATCCAACTTAAATCGGATATCAAATATTCGCCGCAAAGATATGGGTGAAATCCATTTATAACTCATTTTTAAAGTTTGGTATAATAATTCTGGAATAAATATTGAAGTTTGATTTTCGAATTTTCGATTACTGATTAAATGATTGAATTTCATACATACATACAACAAATAAGATAAATGATTAAATTTCATACATACATACATACAACAAATAAGATAGAGCACTCGTGTTCACTTAAATCAGCTTTAATGGGAA